AAAGAAGAATCAATTTCATCAAAAAATAAATTTATCAAAGGAATAACTTTATTAAGCAAAATAGAAAAACACTTCCCATATTCATCAAAAAAATGTAATTTTATTAAACAATCATAATTCTATTAAAAATGATTTATTAAGCAAAATAGAAAAACACTTCTCAATTTTATGCTTTTTGAAGAAAATGAAGCAACATTTCGAGCAGGAAACGACCCTCAATGTTTGGATAATCGAAAAAATAAACATACATGCATTGTAAAGGCTTCGATCATCTTTCAAACACACCCAATATCATCAAAAAATATTTGCTATTTTTTATTTAATTGAAGAAAATGAGGAAATTTGAGATTTATGAAATTTGCGTTATATGATGCAACGAAAAAATTGATATAAGAAAATTTACTCAATAATAAATAAACATAGTAATTTCATTTGAGCTATAAAGCCTCAATTATTGAATGCACAACTTAATTTGATAAAAACAACCAATAAATGGACAAAAAATCTGCGCTTTTTGGTAGAACATAGGTCCTTGGAGCAGCAGCCATTCGGGCTAAAATAAACCCTTTATTTTTTTGTTTTATGAGCAAGTTAAAGTTGAATCTAGGAAATACTTTGAATAGCAATCAAACCCCTCAACTTTCTTGAAGAATCATTAGGTATTGAGGAGATTATTGAAAGAATGGCGGAAGTTTTCAAAAACCTAAAAAATCTGTCATTTCAATCCAAAAAACGCGTTTTTTAAAATTTTTAAATCCAAACTTATTGTTTTAGATTCATTATATAGTGATTTAAACCATTAAAACACGAAAAAAAACCAAAATATTGTCGCAAACCGAATAAAAAATGGTGAAATTTAGATTCATAGTTTTCCTTCTAACGGTTTGAATTTTAGAATAACGCCGTTATTTATAAGTTACTGTTATTTACCCTAAAACGCTGTTATAACGACGAGCCGGTCCGTTAAGATGAAAACCGGCCGATTTTTAGAAAACATTGTTGGTTTGATATCGAACCGGCCGGTTTTTATACCAACTTTTTTTGAAGATTAATGTCTAACGAGTAGTACCGTAAAACCGATCTTAACCAGAATCGGTACCTTGTCGGTACCGATCTGACCGGCCGATTCAGATACCTTGCCGGTGCCGATCTAATCGTTAGGTTCCGGTTTAGACAGGCCGGTATTGCGAACAATAGTAAACGGTCTACCGACCATTCAATGGACGAAAGTACAAGTCATTTCCATCCTCGTAGGCAGTCCACCCACCATTCCTTGGGTCCGAAAGTACAAGTCATTTCCATCCTCGTAGGCAGTCCACCCACCATTCCTTGGGTAGAAGTACGAGTCATTTCGATCCTGGTCGAGGAGCTATGCGAAAATATGTACGGATATGATAGACACGTAGGGACACCGTATTTTTGCTTTCTAGTATACATATAAAACGCAAATGTATGGCATTTTTCTACCCGGAGCACTATTGTGGCTAACCCACTGCCAGATAAAAAAAAAGAAAAAAAAAGAAAGAAAAAACCACTAAATTAGGCCTTGGAAATTTGAATTACAACTTCAAAAGAGCTCTTACATGATGAGCTTGTGTCCCTATGAACCAAATAATTTACAGATACATTCCTTCAATTTCTTTCAAAATGATTGGTGAATAATGATGGGTGGTTAGCATCTAGGTCATGAACATTTACTTCTATTTGGAGAATTACATCAAGGAAAAAACAAAGAAAGAAGGTTGCGACCTTAATGTAAAATTAAGATGCACCCAACAAGCTATTGTAAAAGAATATGAAAGAAAAAAAGAAAAGGAATTCCAGTCCCAAAAATAGTGCGTCTTGCAACACATCTTCTAGACCGTCCATTTTCAAAATTTTCAGTTGTTTATAAATCTACTTGATTTGAACCATCTTTGAAATCTAAAATTCTATAATTAGAGATGAAAATGGATTCTCAAACAATCCTAAGTTTTTTTTGATATCAAAATTGTATATCCTGATAAAATTTTGGTGCACCTTATTTGGATTGTTTAAGGTTGCAACCTTATGCAAACCACACCCAAAAATCATACGGTCTACCCCAATCACCTAGCCTGAAAAAACCTAGTGAGATTTTTTTTCTATGCAAATTTTTTTTCAGGTCATTTTTAGTTCACATTGTGATCGATACCAAAAAGTGAAAAATGAGGCTTTTGAGTTCTCGAAGGCCTAGATTCATTGTTCCTCAAACGGCCAGAATGTAATCCAAACAGTGCTTACGAGTTCTGGAATGGCCAGTTGAGAGTAGATCTTTGAGAGGAAGCTGATTTTTGGTGTAAAATTTTGAGATCAAAACTCATTATTTTTGTTCTCATGAAATTGATCTGGGGTGGCTAAAGATAACATGAAAATTTTTGAAATGGGGTTGGGGCATCTGTGTTACGGCAGCTGATGCTTCAACATAATGTCCCACTCTCTATTTCGGCCTTTTAACACATCAAAGAAGGGGAAAAAAAAAAGAAAAAGAAAAAACATAACATGAATTTCAGAACAAAATATATCCCATTTTGAGCCAATTGCCTATTACCCTCCCTTGCATGAAAGTCTAGCGATGCACTTAGTGTGAATTTCAGCATCAATTACTTATAATCATCCGATGTGAAATTCGATCGCTTGGGTATGTCATAAAGTTCGAAAAAATTTCTTTTGTACCTTGAATTTCACGTCTAATAGTAAAAAAATAATTGTGACACCTTGTACTAAAAGTAAATGGAGGCATTATATACTTTTCCTTGACATACTATACGGCACACCCCTACCCTATTTTTTTTGGGTAATATAGTAGGAAATATAAGGCCCTACCCATCTTTGAGAAGTTAAGGAGTTTTTGAAAGTGTTAAGTAGAAATAGAAACGACAACATACAATTGAAGTATGAGGGTGCTACCACCACGACCCACCCCTTTCCCACACCCGTAGTGTTATTTTGTGGCCTTCCGCAGTTTGTTTTAGAAGTTTTGTTGGTCATAGTTGTTAGTTTATTTATTTTTTGACAATGACTTTAGTTGCTAAGGACATTGTCATCCCCGTAGTAATTAATGCACTTGGTAGGCTGCCTCCTTAACCCCAACGTTTCCACTGGAAACGAGCTTTCAATAGATTCTCTTCTTTTGGTACACAAAGGCACCCATAATTTTTAAGTTCCCAATGATCTCTCTCTCTCTCTCTCTCTCCAAACACTCAATCTGAAATAAGAATTTCTGAAAAGCAAGATTTGTCTTTAACTATTAAAAGAAAATTGTTTTGTCAGTCAGCGGACTCACTAGCCCTCGCGTCTATCTTGATGATAAATCTCCAGAACTAAAGATTCATATCCAATGGATCGTAAATATTTTTTTACAAAAGTATTTTAAAATTTTATTTTACTTTTTACATTCATGATCGTCATAGTGTGGATCATGGATCTCTACAAATTTGGATCCAAAATCTATATAAAAATGGGTGTTAGAGGGAGCCCGCATGAGAACAGTATGAGTCAGGGGGGCTCATAAAAACCGGGTCCATTATTAAAATAACTAATACTCATCTCTACAAAATAAATGTCGGAAATACATTAGAAAGCCTATACAATTTGAACAATAAAATCAAACATGAAAAAAGGTAAAAGTTAACCAATAATAAATGATTGAAAATATGACCTAAGAAAGTGATTTGACTTAAAAATAAATACAAGATTTCGAAATACTAATTTTAATTAAAATTAGATATCTTGAAATTTTTTTATTTAAACTATGATCATCTTGCAATGCATGTGCTATTAGTTAGTTACATTTGAATCATAGGAGAGAGAGAGAGAGAGAGAGAGAGAGAGAGAGAGAGAGAGAGAGAGAGAGAGAGAGAGAGAGAG